AATTAGGTACCATAAATAAAAGATATAAACATAAACAGATACAATAAAGCATTCAGATAGAGTACGAACTTTATGTATGAGAACCTGGCATAGCATAAATACAAAATTATATATTGAACATACATATCACATACTCTGTTGCTGAAATACTGAACTAGCTTATATAGACTTATATGACTACTATCTTCCAGCGTCAGAAGATAATTGCTAGTACAGTAGTCAATTATTGTTTTCAGTTTCCGCTGGGCAACTCTGCAACTTTGTAGATTCTGGAACCAAAGGGGTCCTACTGTGGTATCCAAAAGCCCGAGTTCGAATCCCAAAGAAGGCAGGGATCTTTGTAAATATATAGTGTCTTTGCGGTATGGAGGAGTCTAAATACTCGTATATGGCGAGCCGAAAGTCCACTCTAGAGGTTGGTGATAGGGAAAGAGGGCTGGGAGACCCTCAGACCTGTCCCCCCTTCCAGGATGTTCTTCATCAAAATTGGGGGCGAAACTGAGCGAAGTCGTACTGTCACCTGTATGGTGCTCAAGGCTCTTGCCAACGACAGGAGCAATCTTGCTGTCCTTGCCACGATTAATTCCGTGGGCTTGTTCTGATGTTACTGTCAGAAGAGGGGCATAAGTCACAATAACATAATTCATATTTGATTTAATTTCTCAATGAAAAATTTCACAAGGAATTCACGATTTTTTAATTACTTTATAGGGAAAATTAGGTAGCAAAACATTTTCAACTGTCTTACTTTACGTGCGGTAAAGTTCAAAAGCGCGGCGAAGGTCACGTGATACAACAGAAAGTACAACTAGGAGCCCACTGGTTCGTTCTAGAAGTTCCTCCCGCAGTTGTTGTTGTAGCCATATTACATGGGAGAATGGCTGTCAGAGCCTACTCCGAAGAAAGGTTGAACTTCTATTTTCCACCCCAATTTTGCCGCAGAGCACCCTGGGGGGGGGATCTTCCTCAGCTGCGATACCAATGTGGACTTTGCACATTATGCTATCGGGACGCTCAGGAGAAAATCGTTGGCTTAGCGAATAATGAAAGGTGCCGTCATCTTTACGGCATTTTACAAAATCACCTTGATGGCGCGACATGAAAATTCCCGTTTTTTATGCGATGGAAATAACGAATGAAATACAACGATTATGAATTTGTGATGAGCAAACGTCAATAAAGTTAAGGCTTTAGTTTAAGGCCCATATCACGCGGCGTTTGTTTCACACGAATAACTGTTTCGGACAATTTTTATGCCTGTTTTACTATTGAAAGAAAGACTTGCGACGTTTTCCTTCCTTTCAAAAAAAAAAAAATTGCAAGTTGTTCGTTTTCAACCAATCAGCTATCAGCTTCGAATGCTATCATCTTGTTTCTAATGAGGAACCATTTTCCCCTGTGTTAACCCCAAAGCGATCTATGGTGACTGGCTGTTGTGACAAAGCAGAAAAATTGTTCCAAACAGTTGTTCTTCCGAAACAAAGCGACGTGTGATAGCAGCTTAATAGAGCTATCATTAGAATATCTTTCGGTTTTTAACTGCTATTAAATCCTTTTCTTCTTATGAGTTTATAATTTTTTCCTGCATGGATTCTGCAGTTATGATTGATGTTTTATTTTTTTAAACCACAGACATCAGATGATAAGGTGGCGCCCCTGGCCCCTATGCCTAAGGAAATTTATTGCCCGAGCTGCTTTGGGTAAGTCATGAAAGACCGCAGATAGTTGAAGGCGAATATCTTTTTACTTAAATTTTCGAGTAGAATTATTTAACAATATATTTATCGTCTAAATTCGAATAAAGGCAGATTTAAAATTATTTTAATATGAAAATTCATTTAATATTTACAAAATAATTTTTTTTAAATGATAGGAAAGTATTTAAATTTATATATTTATTTGCTACTCCCGGAAAAAAAAATTAATACTCGCGAATCCTCTGAAATTCGGAAACGTCATTGCGAGAATTTGCTCGGTGATAAAACTATACCCCTAATTATAAGAAAATCTAGTAATAAATAACCTGAATGCGAAAAAATGCATTTCCTGTAGAAAAATTCCGATTTTTTTTTTCATTTTTCACGAAATATTAAAATATTAAATCCGGATGCGTATGTATGATGACATTATGGTAGATTTTGGCCACTTTTTTTTCATTTATATGTAAAAGCTTTCACCCGATGTAATCTTATGAAGTAAAAATCAGTAATGAGAACCTTTCGAAACTCCCGAGTGCGATTCCGAGCGAACCACTGTGATTTTCCGGAGATTTCTCTCTCTTTGCTCAACTGCTTATCTTGTAGATTTTTTTCGTATATTTTGAAAGTGTTATTTCAAATTAAAAGAGGAAAGAACGAAATACTGACGATTCATAATTGTGCCACCACTTCGTAGCAGTGTTTATCAGTGCCAGTTAAAAATTTTATGTTTAGGACAATGGCAATGCTTTGTAAAATCCCAATCACATTATGTTTCTGCTACGAGGGACTGGACGTCGAAAGGGACAATTCTCAGAACCCGCACATTTCTAGAACACCCACGTAGCTAGGTTACCATTTTCACTTACTGCAAAGACTTAAACGCCAAACAGTAATCGATCATCGCTCAGATTGTGATCACGTGATCCTTCAGAAGCACAATTTTCGTCTGATTGGTTGATCTCTACGCGGGACAGAGCTCTAACCGAAACATTTTCGGCGAGGTGTCAAAAAATCCCACGTAGCCGGTACATCGTTTCTGTAGCTAGGCGGGGCTTCGCTTCCAATGGGACTTTTTTTCTAGGAATTCTCCCGTTTAAACCAGTGCTACCAAAATCTCGTTTCTCATAAAAGTCCCGTCTAGCAGGGCCGTCGCTAGATGTGATAACCTCTTAAGTCACGTGTGGGATAAGCGCGTGGTAGTGTAATATAACGTAACGTAAGTGTTTAGTAGAACTGTCGGAGAAACGTTTCCTGAGTATAATGCATTAAACGACGCTTTGCCGAACGCGTACATTGCGAACCTAGATTGGCCCAATGTAAGTAACATTTTTTTTTCCCAATGGCGGACCCAAACAGCCCACAGACGTTGGCGAATACTAAGGCCAGAAGCGGTGGTCACTTTATTATGGAAGCACCTATTAGGTGGGCCACCTTTGCCTCCATTGAGGGGACGAACAAATTCGAACAGGGGCCTTCTCTGGGATTCGAGCCCGGGCCCTTTTGCATCGCAGTCGGTTTCCCTAACCACTATACCGTCTGGGCGGCATTTAGGTAACATAGACATGCTGATTTTTGAGAATACGAGCTAAACTGCTCTCATAAGCAACAAACAATTATTTAAAAAAAAAAAAAAAAAAAAAAAAAAAAAAAAAAACCACGTATTTCACTCTGACATTTCATTATAAACATGATTAATATATTTCTGGCTGCAAAACATACTGAACATCTAGGTGTGACGACGTGGAAGGTGATTTAATGAGCTTATGTTTCAATGGCAACACTTGCCAAGTCGCGTGGAGGATAAATGCGTGGATGTTTAACGTATCGCTAGTAATTTCATCACTGAGAACGTTACCAGTTATTTGACACAGGAGGAGATGGTAATTTTACTTCCACAAGAACAGGGATGTTCCATCTCGATTTTGATGGGAAACACCCCATGAGGATGGATCAGAATGCTTAACACCCCTCCTTTCCTACCACCAAACCTCTCAAGAGGATTTTCGGCTCGCTTGTATTTTAAATGATCTCATGCCGCACACACAATGTACAGTTACAAATATTCAGGCCTTCGCATGGATTCGAATCCAAACTCAACGATACGGCAGCCAGCAGAGTTAACCACTGTTCCGATCAGATCGGTACCGTAACAGATAAAAAATTACGGTTAGTCTTCAATTTCTAAAATCAATAGAATTTAAAAAAGTCAACAGATTATTAAGAAGTGCTTTTAAGTCATCCAGCATTACATATAAGCAATAATGTACTGCTATAATTTGAAAACAAGAATTAAAGATCTTATGTCATGTCGAACGGCAATAATCCGAGTTCCAAACGGGTTCCCTTAGATGTTAAATTAACGATATTAACGTGTTAGAATGATAACACTTACGAAGTCACTTGGATTATAAATGCCTTGCTATCGTTGAAAAAAAAAAAAAAAAAAATTGCCGGGTGGGGGTTCTAATGGCGGGCACTTACCTATAACGGCATTGGCCACTCCTAAGGCCAAAAATGGCGACCATTTATTGTGGAGGCACGTAATAAGGCGGCCACAGTTACCTCCTATGAAGGGACAGACAATTTTTGCATCCATGCTTTCCTCGGGGTTCGAACCCGGGTCTTTCGGTAGTCGAGCTTCCCTAACCACTGTACCGACTGGACGGCTAGTTACAAAACGTAGAAATATTTTTAAAAAAGTCCAGTACAACGTTTTTTGACTTCTAAAATTATTTACTTCGATTTCTGTCACTGTGAAGGCTTATTGGAAACATAATAAAAATTGGTAGAAACAATCTTTGAAAAAACGTCACCCTCATCCATTTTTCATCACTTACGAAAACTGATATATAATAAGAGCAAATTTCACAAGGAAGAAGTAACACGTATGACTTAGCTAATCTGCTCTACCTTTTGAAACAGCGTTATGAAAGAACAGAGAGATCGCTATATTTAGAAAAACCTCAAGCGCTTCAAACTGTAATGTGTATACTGATGTTTTTGTGAGAGAAAAAACTGCTTAGCATAATTTTTCTTTTCCCCCTTACAGTTTACTAAATAAATACTCGTGAAGTTGAAACGGCACCGACAACGATCGAATTAAAAAAACACTCTGATTTTCTTTTTTTTAAAATAAAATAAAGTTAACGTTTTTGAGGGGTTACCAATCAAAACAACTATAGAATCTCAGTCAAATCCACAACCACCATTTTGCGCGATAACCTGCCAAAAGTGGCAACCTTACCTCGATCAGCCATTCTTGCGCTATCACCACGGCCGCACTCCGCGCCGCAGCTCGCCCATTGGTCGGGCCGGCAAAAGCACGTGAACACGATGTGATGTGACCACGATGTTCGGAGCATCTTGAACGTCTGTCACTATCAGGATGGAAACGTAAGGCGAGCAATTCAGACGGAGATAAACTTGGTTCTGCTCTTCGCGCGTGCAGCACATGCGCTTTCGTATTCTCTGTGCTCCTTAAATTTTATTCGAACAGCTTGACGTAGACAGAAAAGAACTTTTCAATTACAGAAACGGAGTACAGAATAAATAATGGGAAAATTTAAAGCTCTTCGCTGCTAAGCAGGTAAAAGATTATTACTCTAGCTAAGTTTTTGTTGAGTTGCATGGAGTACTGCTATATTGCGTTAAAAAATTCTGCAGTGTTGAAGTGACTTATTTGTGTGAAATCATCAATATGCATGGATATATTTGTCGCCGTTTAATGACTGTTAATGACAGTTGTAGTGAGTGTGAAATTATTATTCTTAATAGTTTAGTAATGGTTTTGTTTTTTGGGTGAAATTCAAATGTTTATAATTGCATTTGTGACATTAAATGAATCGCAGTGATATGATTGACAAATACGACATTTTTCAAATGATTTAGTGATTTATTTATGAAAAGGAGTAAATTAGCGAGCGACTATTAGTGACTAAGGTATTACTAAATTAGATTTTCTGAAGCACGAATTTTTAGATTTTACATACGTAGCCCTTCTTTATGCACTTCAGTTACCTTGGGTTAGCGTTTTTTATTATGCTAGAGCTCTCGAGCTGCATCTACTTTGGATAGAATGCATTCACAGAGGACTTTCTAAGAGAAACCTGCCCGTATTCGCGCTATTCGTGGATGAATGAGGTGGGAGGGATCGGAATTAAAGAGAGTTAATATGAAAAATTCATTTAGAAATTCCTCTACGAAAGCACCCATTCTCTTACGCAAATAGTACTCGCTTGCTTACAGACGATTGTAAAATAATGCACTGTAAACAGTATTGTTTTTAGTGTTGGTATATGTTTATCTGTTATTCTGGTTTAGCTTTTGACAAGAGATGATTTCGACTTCAGTTTGTGCAGTGTTATGTTTATATTAAATGAATTTTAATTGCTATCAAGAATACTTTATTTTTGGATATTGAGCTATAGGATTATTTTTAATTTGTTACAGTCATTCAGCTATGTACCGCCGACGAATTTAATTTTAGTCATGTTATAGTTATGTCAAGTAAATACAGAAATTATTGTTGAATTTTTACTGACGGATCATTAGAAGTCCTCCATAAAGGCACCCTTTTTCTTAGGCAGATACCCTTCACGTGCTTAGCTGTATTCAAGAAAACTATCAGAATTTTGGGCAAATAGAACAGTGGTTCAAACTTTTGTCAGATATATCTTTGCTGTATAATAACTTTAAAAGTAGCAAGTAGTAAACTAGAAAAGATTTTTCGAGACCTAGTTGGTAAAAAATTGCGCGTTGAGCTGCAAATTTTAAAAAAGAATGGTAATGAAAGGAGAGGGAAAAAAATAGACGAATAATAGTGGTATTTTTGATTGTTTCTATGTTTCTAGCACATAAAAGCATAAACTAAATGACCTCCCTTCCCGTTTTAAGTTAATGGTTATTTGAGTATGGCAAAGCACACGAGGGCTATCTGCTTAAGGAAATTGATACCTTCGAGGAGGACATCCTAAGGAATTATATTTGCACTGCACTTGGCGGGAAAAACCACCTTGCACCTTATGCTGATTCACCTGGCTTCGAAAGCAGTTGAAACTTTCTACGGTTATAATATAACTTTTGATATCTGAAGCCGCAAATGTGCGTAAATTTTAATTTGTGAAACATCGCAGTTTCATTTGTTAAAAAGATGTGCTTCATAATTTGAAAGTTTCTTAAATTTTAATTCATTGTGATGTATTTGAAATATTTCCTATTTAATGCCATTTACTCACTTTAATACACCTTTGCTGGCATAAAGTTTACGTAAGTACAGTTTTAAAAGATGATTATGATGTGTAATTTAATCAAATGTTTTAAAGAATCTAATGTTATTTTCGTTTAGGAGAAGAAAGTAGATAATTTATAAATTTCCTTTTAGTAGATTTTTTAGTCGCAATAATATATCTTTGTCGCAATAACCGACAGTAGCGATACCTCTTTCCAGCTGGCTCTAAATTGTTTATTTTTGTGTTTTGTATTAGTAGATTCTTTTTTTTATTTCTTAAAGCGGTTTAGCTTTCAAACGCAAACAATCTTGATTTCAGTTTGTGCTATGTAATGTTTATGTTAAAGTAATATAAAATTGTGCTATCATGTAAATTATTTTCGTATTTTGTGCTGTAGCATATTTTATTTATTTATCACCGACTTAGTTTTGAGCTTAATTTTTTCCAGCTGATCTAATTTTTGTCATGTTATGTTTACATTAAACGTATATAGAAGTTTATTTTCATTTATTTCAGTCATCTAGTTTTCGACATTTGACTGTTTTGATTTTAATTTGACGTAAAATTTGGATAGAAAATTTATAAAATACATTTTGTTGCTACATTAAAAATTTTCTCAATAAAGTCCTGTTGTCAGTGGCACCGTAAAATGCACATTTATCAATGCTTAAATTCAGTCTTAAGCTTTAATTTTAGTTCTAAAAATAATAATTGAATGCATTTCAGCGGACGTTATGAACATTATTCAGGAACTGTTAAAGAATGAAATTTTAAATCATACTGTAATTTATTATCTTGGTATAAGAAGAAGCTCATATTTACTGTAAGCATTCCATAGGGTACTTGTAGCTTTTTTTTTTTTCCCGTGTAGGATGATCATCATTTTTTGCTCTTGTTTCGTGCAAAGTGAATAGTCGTTTTCATAAAGTCGAATTTTTATCGTTTTCTTATGTATTTTAAAACATTTCAACGAATGCGGATCTGTTGTTATTTTATAATGAATATTCACTAACATTTATACTGTGTTTTTTAGTGCTTTAACTCTGTACGTTTTCGAATCGTTAAGGGATAAATATCATTAATTCAGTGTTAGAACTGTATATAATAAATGACGCGTTAAAATATTTTTAACATATCTTCGCATTAATCATTGACAGTAAATGTAAATATTTCCGGTAATTTTCTGGTTGACAAATCCACGTATTAACCAAGATTTTTATTAAGCGACCTATGTTTTTGCTAAGGCTCTTCCACTGCCCGTTCGTTTATTTTGAGCAATTTCAGTAAATAAATGGTAGATCAGTAGTGGAGCGTATGCGACTGTTGAATACTTGCGATTCGACCCAACCTCGAATCATGGCTGTAATTGCATGAGATTTTTATGATTTTCCTCATATGTTGAAAATGGAAGCCAGGTTTCCTAGATAAATCTTCGATTTGTGTCCTCGGACACTTTCCAAGCTGGGATTGGATTGGATTTTTAGTAACACAAGGCGGATATCTGCCTAAGCGAAGAGATCCTTCGCGTAGTATTTTCTAAGGAAAACTGGCTCGTTTCATGCCGGACATTGAGAAGATCGAGAAAGTGCTCATGCAAACAGCTTAAATTGTTCAAATTGAAACTTGGAACGAGTTACCAGTGTTTAGCAGTCTTAACGCTCGACCCTTTCAGGATTGGGATTTTAAAATGATGCAATATTCACCAGCTGTTCGGGAAAAAAATAATTTCTCCCTTTCCCTGAATCGCCAGTGATGTGCTTTCAAGCATCTGTCGGAAATGGTCGAATCAATCGATTATTTAATCGTCTTATTGCAGAGAGCGTTCCGTGAGGTGCACCGGAAGGAGCGACCGGTATTGCATTCACGAGAAGGAGAGAACGACATGCAGACAAACAGCCAAACCTCACCGTTAGATTCGAACACGTGTCCTTAAATACCTGGATTAGTAATCAGCCGTCGCTACTCCCATGTGTAACGTGTATACGAGCCAATTTCCCTTAGAAAGTTATCCACGAAGGCATACCTGCCCTTAGACAGGCTTTGCCATATCAAATAAACCGCCCCCCCCAGTTTATAGACAGCTGACATTTGTCGTGATAATGACTTTGAATAGTAGCCGCCATAGGAAGTTATCCAGCCAGTGGCCAAGCGTTTAAGACTGTTGAAGCCTGGTAGTTCGATCTGGGTTTGGATTCACGCGAATGGCCTGTCTCCGCCTATAATGTGAATATTAGCCAGTTTACAATACATTTCTGAATTCGGTCCCGATAACAGAAGATTACCTTAAAATCATTTTAACCCTATGTATAACATGAATACGTACGTACCAGTTTCCCTTTGAAGTTCTCCACGAAGGTGCCCATTTTCGTAGACAAATAGTTCTTGTGTACATGGCCATACTGAGACAAGCACCTAATTCTAGCATGTTAAATGTCATTAAATATAAAATTCTTTATATATACAGTTACATTATCGGACCAAAAGTACTAAGCGAGGAAAACATCTAAGGTCATTGCAAAATCGTGTTAAAAACTCAGAAATGATGTATAGCATGTCTTATAAAACAGAGAAAGTACTGATAACGGTATTTTTATATTTTCAAGGAGCTTGAATTTGAAGAGCAAGTTCATTCGTTTATGTTAAATAAGTGTTGGAAACGATTCTATAAATAGCGCTCCCTAAGAACACACTATAAATGACTGAAGAATTAACATCATTAGAAATGAAAAAAAAAAATATGTTATAAATGGTATTGAAGAAAAATAATTTTTAAAACAACGTGCACAACGATTTTGACTTCAATTTGGCATGAATAAATGTGGATTACGGCTTTTTGTTTGGCGCCGAGTTTATTTGACAGATATCATCGGCTGTCACTGCATTTTCCCCGTAAATTTTTCTTTCCCTTTTTTGTATTTTCGGTAGTCAATTTTGTTTTACGCTAAATTTTGTGATGGAACAACGTTTTTAAACCCGGTTAATTGGGAGTGGACTGTAGTTTGGTACTCCTTAGTATTTTTCCAGGTACTCTTCTGTTATCAGGACCGGATTCAGAAGTGTAAGCACATATGTATGTCGGTGCTGATAACGGAACAGTACCTTTTTCCAATATGCACTGTAGAACCGTTGAGGATATTTACATAAACAAGTAAACAAATGGTTAGAAATAATTAATAGCAATATTTATTTTAAAATGGAAATTAATAGTTCAAAAGTGTTTTCTTCCTGAGAAAATCGCTCTGAATCATTCACAAGCTTGCTTTCCGGCGCGTGTGTAAGGAGTCTGCTGTCCACGTGATTATCTTTCGCCTGCGGGACGTAAATTGTGCGCTATCATCTAATTTGTTCTATTGATTTC